ACTACTACTCCTCCTCCTGCTGTTGCTATTCTGACCGGGACTACGACTTCTGCTACTACGACGACAACTGCTGCTGCTGCTACTACTACTACTACCACCACGACTTCTGCTACTTCTTCTACTACTGCTACTTCTACTTATGTTTGCACTCCTCCTACTTTTACTTATACTTCTACTTCCTCTCCTCCTCCTGCTGCCGCTATCACCGGCACTGCCAGCACCTCCTGAGCAACCAGCAGCACCATCCCATCACTTCTGCAGTAGGCGACGTGACCGACGAGGAACCGAACTACTAGTACTGAGAACACTAGAACTACGCGACTGTTGCTGCGGACGACTTTGCTGCAGTCATGTCTGCCGGGTCATCTCTGTCAAGACGCTCCGTCCTTGATGCCATGAGGTGTGCTGTGGTATCTTGAACCTGCTCATCCATTTTGGAGGCGCCTGACGTACCATCTCCATGGCCCAACCGCAGACAAAACCCAGCTTTGCAGGGATTTACGGCAGCGTCGGTTCCTTTGCAGCCAGGCTTCGCAACCTTCGCCCAGAAGGTGAAAGCAGGATACAGTGCTGTGGGCGGCCAGTGAGCCCTGGTAGCTAGAGTGACTAGCCGGAGGATTTTCTTCTTCGAGGGTAAGGACATCCAGTCGTAGCCAAGCCCCTCTCGGTTTTCACTGGACGTGCTACGACATGCCACGTTCCTACCCTCAAAGCCCTCCCCCTGAACCCGTCGATGCCGGGCAGGACATGGACTCTTACCCTTTGACGTAGACACAATGTACACAGGGGTGCAATCGTCTCATCGTTCAGCCTTTTTGGTTTGCTCCTATCCTGTTGACGAACGATCTGCTGTAGAAGGTGAGATTCGAGTGGCTGGAATATGAGCAGTGGAACCCCGAGATATTTTGGCGCTTTCAATTTCACCGATGCCTCCTTGCTGAACGAGCAAGCGATTTGTTATCACGATCGAGAGTTTGCTTCTTGACTGTCGCAGCCCATATGACACCGAAGCCAATCTGTCTAGATGCTGCCGTCGATTACTTGGAAGACATCAGAGCTCCTTAGATGGAGGCCCTTGTTCGGGACTTGCCAGCTGCAGCAAAGTCGCGGCTCGCGGTTCAAAGAATTGCAATGCCTCTTTTCAGCATAGAGCGGCTTTGATAAAGCACCTCTTGTGGTTCTGAGCTTCCCGAACCCCACGAGAGTTTCGCAAGACTTGGGTCGGAGCCTTCCAAACCTCAGCTGAGCCGAAGTGCAAAGAGGAGCTGCTCGACTCCACCACCGCCAGCTCGACCGGCGAGGCATAAGGTTTCGACATCTTGAGGAGGGCTTCGGGCTTAAACGCAGGGCTTCTTGATGCGTCACGGCTGAGAGTCTATTTTGTTTGTGCGCTGCTGGGACAACGTCGAGAGCAGATCCTGCGTCTTCGGCCTTGACATCTGAGCTTCGACGCTATCTTGCAGTACGGTTGCCTCCTAGACCCTCTCAGGCCTGTTGGCGTGAGCTGGTACAAAGCCGGTGAATTCCTGGAGGAAGGAAGCCCCCGGTCAGCAGGTGGAGCAAGCACACCTCAGCAGCACGAACGAGCTGCTGACGCCCGGGCCTCGGTGTCGGGCTTTCAGACGTTGAAGCAGATGAAGGCTGGCAAGACAACTTCAACTTTTGGCACCTCCTTGGCTCTAAGTCTCCAAGAGGGTCGCGAATCAGCAGGCATGCTCCATTCCTCTTAGGACTTTCGGTGGTGATGACGAGTTCTCCTTCGTGAACCAGTCGAGCCCACAGGATCTTCGATCGCAGCCCATGCTCCGGGCTTGAGGGTTTAGGAGGAGAGTTGAGGCACCTCCCTGAGTTTGAAGCCCTGAAGCTCAAGCTTGAATCCTGCTGTGCCATCGGTGGCTTGGGCTTCCTGTTTGCCATGCAGGAGCTGGAGACACCTCCGACGAAATCGGTCCAGAAGCTGGAGGTGCCAAGAGTTGGGGAAGTTGTTTGGCTAAGGGCTAGGTCTCATACAACAGCGTATAGGACTCGGAGTGTAGGGCTACTGAGCCCTTTGTAACGTCACTCAGCTCTCTTTTTGACAGGTTCCAGCATCTGCCCAGCGTGCGGCCTTCAAGGAGAAGGTGTTCTCCTTCGGGGCCCAGGACGGTCCTTTGAGTCCATTGAGGCTGCAGATGTCGTGTCGGACTTTGGGCTTTAGCATAGTAGCATGGCCCAACTGTGAAGTTTGTTGATGCCTTTCTTCTGGATTTTTTATTCAAAGGCAAGAAGTCTCAGATGTACACAGTATTCCAAAAACAGGACACGAAAGCCTGATCCCTCGGCGCTAGGCCATAGAATCCTCAATCCTGGAGGAGGAGCCCGGCTTTGTCCACACCTTGGAGAGCAAACTCACTGCCGACCTGCAGGCGACGTCTGAGTAGAAAAGGTGTCGTGTTCCCGTCTCAGCATCATTATCAGCAGCAGAGAGGGAAGAGGAGTGGGAGAGCAGGAGTATGAGGAGGGCATCACAACCATATTCATGATCGTGATCAATGATTGGGATTGTCACGTTTCAAGGTGTCGTGCCGATGTGGCAGGTCAGTTTGGGGTTTCGCGAGACCAGGAGCAAGGGTTTCAAGTGTGACAGATGTCTCATTTCAGCAGCTTTTTGGGCAAGCTCCGACAGCCTAGCACGCCATTCCCTATTTGGCCAGCTATGTCTGTCACGTGTACAGAAACCTTGCCCTCCCACCTGCGCGGATCCTTCGCCTCCGGCTCTCCTCGACCCGACACCATCGGCCTCAGCCGCTCCCACACCTTCGGGCTCGGCCGCTCCGTCGATGCGCACCCTGGATCTCCTACAGCTCCCGAGACGCCTGAGGAGCGGATGGCTCCGTTGCCGTCGCTCTGCCTCGTGATGTACTCAGGGTTCTTGGCAACCTTGGCCTTGGACATTGTGGTCACGACCGTCGACGGGTATTCCAAAAAACTAGAGGCAGGGGCGCTGTTCACTGGACTTGTCATTGCTTTGACGCCTCTTTTCCAAGGCTTGATCGGGGTCCCTCTAAATCGCTGGATGTTGAAATCGGCTTCCATGAAGACCGTGAGTATTCTAATGGCTGCTGGCATGGTCGTAGGGCACATCATCTATGCCCTTGCCGGGCTCATGCACTCCAAGAAGGCTATCCTTTTCGCACGCGCCGTCATTGGCAGCTGTCAGTTCAACCTGGGTGCGCCGATCTACATTGCGCAGGCAGTGGGTGTCAAACGGCGGACACCGGTGTTGTTCATGTACTCTGCGGTGGCTACCTCGGCATTGGCCGCGGCTCCAGCTGTTTCCGGTTTGCTAGAGACCTTCCTGCATGAGCTGCGGATTCACAACCTGGTGCTGGATTCAGACACAGCCCCCGGTTGGTTCATGGCGATTGTCTACTTCTTGTACTTGTTGAAGGTGGCCTTCTTTTTCGAGAACCCCGAAAAACCGCCCTCACAAGAGATCCTCCCTGCCACAGCAGAACCTGCAGCCGAGAACCGGGAATCCTTGTGGACCACGGGCTTCCTTTTATGCCTGTTGGCAGGTTTTGCCGGAAAAATGACTAACATTGGATGCACGGTCTACTTCACGCAACTTTCACAGCGCACCTGGCACTGGAGCCTAGCCCTCAGCTCATGGGCTCTCGCAGGGCTGATGGCTGTCGTGTGCGTCTTGTCGCTGGGTAGCAGCCGGCTTGCCAAGCTCGTGGAGGACAGGAGCGGCCTCCAGCTCAGTGCACTCTCTACTGCCATCTTCTCGATACTTGCCTTCCGGTTCATGCCGAACTGGTCTACGGCAACGATGGCACTGACGCTCGCCGGTTTGCTGCTGATCCTGACTGCAAGCAGTGTCGTCAAGAACTACGCATATGCACTGACGTCCAAGATCGTGGCACCGGACTTGAAGGATCGAGCTTCATCGTGGCTTATGCTAGCGATGACCCTGGGTCGAGGGGTAGGGGCGCAACTTGGCGTCGTGTTCACTCCCGTTTGGTTTGCAGGTACCATGCTGGGCACATACCTTTTGCTGTTTGCTTTCGTGTCTGTCTTCCGATCTCAGATGAAGCAACATGCCAGGGCCGTCTAGGGATAGAGCTTTTGCTATGGGCCCGTAGAATCATTTCTGCCATTGTACAGCAGTACAGGGCAGTTCATGAGCTTTCAAGCTGATGATTGTACAGCACTCAGGCAGCATCATTGCCCGAAGAGCGCCCATGCCACGCATGCCCGAAACAAACGAACAGTCAACATGTGTGGATATATATATATATACTCTACTCACATATTAGCCTAATACATCACATACATATATACATAAAAAGCATATTATATGACGTGCGATACATACACACATTCATGCATGCATGCATACAGACATACACACATACCGACATGCAGACATACACACACACACACACGTACACACATACACACACATATATATATATATATGTATACACGCACATATATATACACACATACACGCACGTATAAAGGCATGCATACATATTTCACGTGCATGTGTGTTTATATATACATATATATATATATATGTATATGCACACATATACACACATCTGATACAGCTGCTTGCGTAGAGACATGCTAGACTTCATGCTCCCTTTCATCTTAACTAGCCGGGGAAATTCCAGTGAACCGTGCCCAGAAAAGCCATAGCAGCAACAACGAGCAACGGCACTTCGGCAACTTGTGAGCAAGACCGACTGGTTCACTTTCCCACCTTGCTGCGGCACCGCCTGCCGTTCATGGAGCCACGGCGCTTTCGAAGCTCCATGCGCACTGGCGTTTTCAGCTTCACGCGGTCGACATCGGATGCCCAAACCCTGCCGAGGGATGGCCTGCCTCTCTCTCTCTCTCGTCATGGTGATGTTAGTCATCACATGCAGAGGTCTGAGAAAGGTCCTCGCAGCAGCCGAACGCCCCAGAACCCTACAGTTCAGAAGTCCGAAAATAGTAACATATCGAAAGCCCTAGAGCCTCTCACATCCTTCTCTTCTCGCTCGCTATCGCAGGCCTCCGCTCCGGTCAGAAAGGAGGACCCCTATGAGATCCGGAAGCCCGGCGCGCCCACCGAGCTCGGGTTGCTTGGGTTTCGGGGACTCGAGGAGCTTGGATTCGGGGTTCGGGGCTAACGGGTCTTGGGCCGGGTCTTAGAGTGCATGGGGCTTTCTGACTTGAAGGTTCATGTGTTGAGGTAGGGATAGGCATATCTTGCTCGGGGAATCTCCTTGAATTTGGGGCTTGATTTTGAGAATCGTGGCACAAGATCACAAAAGTCGTGACGTTCAGGCCTTGGGGCTCAGGGCTTCTAGGGCTTACAGGTATCTGCTGGACTCGACAATCCACTCATGCGAAGAGTTTGGGGTTTCGGTTTACGCCCCCAACCGTAAACCCTAAAGGAGGGCCTCTTTTTGTCGCCATTTTTTTTTGCACCTGTGGCCTTGTTGTTTTTTCTTGGGGGGCGGGG